AGAACAAACTTAGTTGGTCTCTAAGGTGCTGCTGGGCATTTTTAAAAAATTTTATTTTGAACCAACATGACTACCTACCTGAATCTAGTAACATAAGCAAAACGACATTTCTAGGTCTTGATGAATGTACAGTCTCCTCTATTTTAGTGCACGGAGCAAGTTTCTGCTGACTGCTGCCACCCCAGGAAACATCTAGGAGTTTTAGGAGGTTGGGGTGAATTTTCACGAGGAAATGACTGCTATTAAGATTTATTTTCCTCAAGCATGGGCTGTAAAATAAGGGAAAGCCTCAGATCACTTGCTAAATAAGTAAGAGTGGTGACTTTGTTTTAAGGAAGGAAAGGAGGGGAAATGGTCTGATATGTTATTACCATACAATTCTGCTATTTGGAGTGTGTGTGTGCAAGTTTAGCTGAGGATTTCATAAGAGTTGTTTGTCTTTTAATAGTGAATATAATCTGTATTAAGACAGATTGGGGAAGTCCTGGATCTCTTTCCATTTTGCAGCATCTTAGCTGGATTGTAATAATAATCATTATAATATAAAATAACTATCAGAATACTAGAAAACATCCAGCCGTATTATTTCTTCTATATGCAACATACATAACAAGTATGCTTTTTTCTGTATGTACTATTTTCTTCCAGTATTAAAAACCAGCAGACAGGAAAAGGGGGAGAACCATGTATGCCATCTTGAATCCCTTGAAGAAAAAGGTGGGATATAAAAATGCAATAAATAGATGCAATACAGTATATAAGCTTTGATAAGTGCTTGGAATCCCAGAGTCTTTCACTGCTTGGAGATTGGGGTGGATTGTATCAATACTTAGCACCTAACTGGCTTCCTTGGTTCAGAAAAGGTCCCCGATGTCACAATTCCTAGTGGCAGATTTCTGTGTCACTCAGAAGCAAGCCCAGCTGAATTCCATTGGGAACTCTGGACCCTTGAATTCTGTGATTTGGCTCAGCATGTTGCCAATAGTTTCTGAAAGAGCAACTGCAACCTCCTCTCCCTTGATATCCATCTGCAAAACAGGCAGCTGTTTGAGAAGCACATCAAATGAGCCTATTAGTATTAATTGTGGTGCTTACCTAGCTCACAAGCATTTCTGCATATTTAAATCATCTTTATAAAACACTTTGCCATCCCGGATGAAAGGGAGGAGCAGAGAGCAGTACGTCTGCCCGACAATTCCATTTGTTTGACTCGCTCAGAGATGTCTTCATGAATCCACGAGCAGAAACAAAGGAGAAATGGTGTCGGAGAACAAAAGCCTTTGATTATTGAGAATGAAGCAGAAGAGCAATTAGGTGTTTTTTTGAAAGAAAAAAAAAGATTCTTTAATTGCTTGAGCCTCTAACACAGCCTCCGTTTGTCTTCCTTTGTAATAATAATGTTGTCTTATTTTTGAATACCCATGGGCACAGAGGGAGAAAAACCCCCAAACTAGTTTCAGTTTAGAAGTGTACAGTTGCTTGAAGACAATAGATGCCTGGGTTGCATATGGCCCCAAGCGAATCCATCAATTTCAGTTTCTCAGTTTCTCCCAGTTTCAAGTTCAGTTCTTCACATTCCCACATCAGTTGCTAATGATGACAATCATTCAATTTATCACCCACCCTTCAGCCTAAAGTCCCAGGGCGGATCACGACACTGAAACACAATATTAAAAACAGTTTAAAGACAACTTACAATTATATAATTCTCATGAAAATACATCAGCATTGCAGTGCAGATTTATCCTAAGACTTACTTCTTCCAATATAAAAGCAGCTTCCATTAATATCACACATTTTTGCATATTATTTTCATTGATATATATGCATTTGCATGCACGTTTTATGCACATATGACTTGGCTGGAGAACTGCACTTGTTAAAATTCTCAGAAGGGAATATTTCGAAGGATGGTGCATCCCTGTTTGTATACTGTTTCTGAAAGTGCAAGTTAGGTAGGCTCGCCTTCAAAGTGCTTTTGTGTGGCTAGAAATGTGTCCTTCAACTGTGATAATACCTCTTGCTTGCTGGGAAGGATGGAGAGATAGTTGGAGTGTGTGCCTAGAAACCTCTGGCTTTTGCACAGCAGGAATGCAGCCTGTCATACAAAGGTATGAGTCACATCCGTTGCTCTGTCCACTTTTGCATCTGGCTTCACCCAACATGGGCATGTGGTCCCCAAAAGGTTGACAATGAAAGGACGTGGTCCTCAAAAGGCTCTCCCTTCTTGTTCTAATTCATAGCTCAATCTCTCAGCTTTTACACTAACCTATACCTGTCCTTCTCCAACAGACCAAATCTCAGTGGTTTAAGAACTCCTGGTCTACAACGGTAAGTTTCTCCCAAATGCCAGCATCTGATCAAATTGCTCTCCAAAACAAAACAAACAAACAAACAAACAAACAAACCCATCTGTGTTGGGATGCTTTCGTTGTGTGCCTTACAGAACTCTTCCAAGTGGCCTAATTTAGTTATAGCCATTCAATTTCAAGGAGTCAAGAGGAAGGAAAGATTGCTCCCAAAAGGTTGAAATTAAGGTCATTGGTAGACAATGTAACAGCCTCCGTCCTGAAACCGATTACTTCTTGTCAGGTCTTTTGTAATAAAGGACTTTGATTTCCAAGGGGCTCCAGGTCATTTATCCTCTGAGAAGGCTAACGTTCAGGCAGAACTTCACCCGCATTGTATCGAGCTGTTAATTTAACCGCTCTGCTGTTATGTTCAGAGGCAGGGAAATTGCAGATGACTGTGCCAAATTACAGAAGTATTCTGAAATCTGACTCCTGTGACCTGTGTTCCAGTGGAAAATTAATTTGGTCCAGAATCTGCAAACAGAACTTTAACCTTTGGAAAGTTGGAGAACCTTTGGAAGGGGAAGTGGGGAAAGAGAGAGGGAAATGTCATCCAGCAATCAAAGACTGAATGCCATCAAGCTTTCCACCCATCCACCTCAGACCTTTCAAGATTGTAATTCTGCAGCTGGGTAGACCCAGGTTCAAATGCTTGACCAGCAACTGCAATAGCCCTGGAATGTGCCAGCCCCTTTCATGGATCCAGACCAGCTATGCTTGCTTTAGTTGAGCACATTTTCAAGTCACAAAATTAGCCCATGTATACTTTTGGCAGACTGCTTCCAGGGTGACGGTGAGTTTTGTTGTGTGTCGAAGTTTCCTAATACGGTGCTGTCAGCAAAGTTGCCAACTGACCTGGAACAAAAACCAGCCTGAAATGCTCCTGTGCTCAGAAGCTATCTGGGGAACAATTATGTGGCAGAAGCTGGGCAGTGTCACTAGTTCCTGCTTCTGGTTTTGGTCTCAGGGGACGAGTGCTTCAGAGGAGGGGCTGTTCGTATTTAGGGCCATGATCATTATGTTCTGCCTCCACAGTCAGAGGCAGTGAATGCCAATTGCTGGGAATCACAAGTGGGTAGAGTTGTTGTTGTGTTCAGGTCCTTCTTTGGGTTTCCCATAGACATCTGGTTGGCCACTGTGGGGATGCTGAACTCAATGGGCCAATGTCCTGATCCAGCATGCCTCTTCTTAAGGGCAGGACAGCCAGACTCACCACTGACATTGGCTACAGATTTAAGAACATGTGCTTGAGATTGCTTTCCCCTCCTACCTCTCATTCCTTGCCTTGTATCTTTTTAGATTGTGAACCTATGGGCAGGAAGTGTCTAGGAGCTTATTTCTTTCTGTAAGCTGCCCATTACCATCTGATAATAGCTCTCCTCAAGTGTTTGCTGTAAACCTGTCATGGCCCATAAATCCAGCACCAATTCAAAGAGAGAGACAGGCCAAGTTCAGGGTCCTGAGCTGACTGCTGGAGATCAGGAGACCACAGTGCCTAAGTCTATCAGATGGAAGCCCCCAGAAGAACCTCCCAGACCACCATTGCTTGTTCTCACAGTGGCCAAAGTTATAACTAAAGGAAGAAGAAAAAGCAGCCAATTGGCTTAGCCCTCCGAGGCCGAGGTCAAGTGTACCCAGATGTCCCTTCTGCACAAACCTGTCTGTGGGAAACCTGCAAGCAGGACCTGAGAATTCTTGCTTCCTGCAGTTTCTAGGAACTGATATTCAGAAACATTACTGCACCTGACTTTGGAGGCTCTGGCACAGCCATCATGGCTAGTAGCCACTGATACCTTATCTTACATGAAGGTAATATTATTTTAATGCTATACAAGGTGGTGACCATCACAATCTCTTGATGGCAGCAAATTCCATAGTTTACTTACATGATGCATGAAGAAGTGTTTTATTTGGATGCCCTGGTGTTAAGTGAAAGGGAGAAAAAAATGTTCTCTAGCCACTTTCTCCATGCCATGCATAGTTTTACAAACTTCTGTCATGACACTTCTAACTCTCCTTTTCTGCAAACGAAAAAGTCTTTGATAAATTTCAAAGCTAGTTCAGGTCAAACTTATTGAGGAAGCATTGCCCTCGCTCAGAATCACCTTTGTTCATTCTTAGTGATGCTGCTCCACAGCCAGATCCAGTTGTCTGTGTGATGACATCCTCTTTACAGTTTCATTTTCAGGTTCCTTACCTAATGTCCTCTTGGAATGGACTTCATCTTTATTTCCACAGTTGCTGCACACGGGTCTTCTTGAACAGACTTGCTGATCTTTCTTTTATATAACAGCTGGGCCTGATGGGAGCTGGTGTCCAAATTTCCTAGGAAGGCACTTGATTGGGAAAGTCTGTTTTGTAGTTTCGGAATATATAGGAGCTGCTTTCCAAATTTCCTAGGGAGGAACGAAACTGGGAAAGCCGCTTTTGTACTTTCAGAATATTGTCTTGATTTTTCTAGATCTATATCCCCTTTGGAGTTGAGAGCTAGGGATAGAATTAGGCGGTTCCACACCCCCGCCCCACCTTTGCCACTCTGAACATGGCAGAGACCTCCTGGCTGAGGTAAGTTCCGCCACACTCAGGATGGCTTACATGCTTCCTCCGCCCCTAGTCTGTTGCTATTGGCCGCGACAAGACATGGCGACCGCAGTGGTCCAATCCTCTTCTTTGTTTTCCTTCCGCCCCCCTGAGAGTGCTAAAAGGAAGGCCTCCCGCCCCACTGACTTGTCCGAGTGTATACCGAATTTGGGATTCCGACAAACGAGGGAAAAGGTTCGCTGGGCTTTATAATGCGCCGCGCGGGGCCGTGCGTGGCATCGGCGCAGCACCAGCTGTTCCGCCACCTCGTTCTCCGCTCTTCCGGCAGGCCGCGGCCTAGCGCCGTCGCCATGGCAACCGCAGCCTTCCCAGGCCCGACGGCCATGGAGGAAGCTCTGAGCCGCGCCGTCCCGCCGCTGCCGCCTTACGAGACCCGGGAGAAAGTGGCGGCGCCAGCCGGGGCCGCCCTGGAGCAGCGCGGCGCGGAGTTCATGCGCTACTACCGGGCCCTGGAGAGCGGCAGGCCGAGGGCCGAGCTGCTGAGCCGCCTGGCCCGCGACTTCGGCGTCGAGCACGGCCGGGTGGCCGAAGTGAGCGGGAAGGTGGCCCGGCTGCTGCAGCAGCAACAGCAGCAGCAACAGGAGGCAGCTGGGGAGAAGGGGGAGCACGAACCCGGTGCCCTCCTGCAGGCCGAGGACCGGCTCCGCCACTACCTCACGCCGCGCTACCGGGGCCTCTTCCAGCACCTCGGCAGGCAGGAGGGCGGCCTCCGCTTCCTGGTGGAGCTCCGCAGGGACCTGCTCGAAGCCCTGGCGGCCAGGGAGGCCGAAGGGCCGCATGTCAGGGTGAGCCCCGGGAGGGTTTTTCTTTTCTTTCCTTCAGATATGTGTGTGTAACTCAGAGGAGACCCGTGGAAAACACAGGGGCGCAAGTTCGCCCTGTCTATTAATTTCAGTGTGTCTACTCTTGAATAAGGCTTAGTTGGTTGCAGCCCATATTTCGTACCGCCTACTGTTACTGGAAGACAGGAGTGCCTGGCGTGCTCTGGTCCATGGGGTCACGAAGAGTCAGACACGACTAAACGACTAAACAACAACTGTTACAAATCTCGTAAGCGGCTTACAATGTATTCATTAATTGCTTTATTTACATCCCGCTTTTCTCCCAGTGCAAGACCCAAGGCGCCTCCCAGTATTTAATTTAAACAGTTTAAGTTAAAGCTATTTTTATTTAAAACAACAGCAACACACATATATCAGTAATATGTGGTCTGAAGTGAGGTTTGTTTGCATGTACGGTAATGGGAAAGGTAAACATCCTCCGCAGCTCCAACTCTTCTCCTTTAAAAACAGCCTTGCAGGCAGAAATTCATTGACGTTTATCGTAATTATTATTATTTAAATGGCATATATCACTGTTTTATATTCTTGCACCCATAGTTCTTCAGTGTTTTAACTTTGGGCGTTGTATTATTTTTGAATATGTGTCTTATTTTTATTTAAATTGCTTCATAAACTTGTTTATTATAAGCCAAAGAACTTTAAGCTATTGGGATGGCGAATGTATACAACAGCCCTGTGAGGTTGATAAGGCTGTCTTAATTTTTAAAAGTCATCTCAACCAGAAGCCATCAACATAATCTTGTGTCAAAGCCATAAGTTAATGATAAATTGTGTGAAGGACTCTGTCTCATCTGTGCTACTTTAAGTCAGTCTTTTTGGGCAACCCCAAATTTTAGTGCTGTAGAGGTAAAAACAGTATTCAGTTGAACAGCATAACTTTGAGGTAGGAGGTGATGGAATCAATGGTGCAAAGGGAGGCGTTCTTGACAGCTTACATCTCCAGTCAGTTTTTCCTCTGACTGAAGACTCAGTGTAGTCCAAATCTGCATATCTTTCTAGATTGCACATTCCCCAGTTTTTTATAGCTCTATTTCTGTGCTGCTGCAATCTGATACACTGAAATTAAGCAGGTGATGACCTTCCTGGAACTTCATGCCAAGAACATCGCCTGGTTTGCTTTTGTGGCAGGCTGCTGTTAAAAGTATGGAAGTGAGGCCTGCAGGAAGAGTGAACAGCCTGACAAGCTTTGGAAATGTCATGAAGCCTACCAGTTTGATGTGACCCACTCTTTACTTAATTGCCCTGGGAGTCTTTGCTCTCCATTTGAGTGAAGTTTAGAATCCGTGATGTGATTGCATTTTATTCTGCTTGGGTGTTGTTGCTTTTAACTAGATCTGATGGGGCATTCTATAGATGCAGATAAATGCTGGTAGTGAAGAGAAGGCTCCCCATGACAGAAGTTCCCTTCCCAAAATGTTAAAGTTGATGAAGCCAGCATCAGGGTCAAAAGGCTCATCCCCACTGTCCCCTTCATCCCATAAGGTTTCAGCACCTGAAGAGGACTATTACTACAACTTATCCTACCACAAAATATAAACTATGTTCTATTTCACACTTCCCAAACTCTTCAGTCCTACCTCAATGCCTACTCCTGCACCGAAGATCAGGGTTCTAAACCTTGTGGGGAGACTACATGAGTACAGCAGGCTCCCTGCCACAGAAGTTCCCTTCCCAACATATAGGGAAAAGTTTTTTAAAAATTCAGGAGGGTGAAAATTTGACACATATTTGTTCCTTATATGTATGGGATGTTAGACCAGGGTGAGATGGGTAAATGGGGGCAGGTTCATTCATGCAATACGTGGGAGGGTGTGTGTGGAATGGTCACACAGTTATGTGTGTACAATGTCTGATACTCATATACAGCACTGGCAGACACGCTTACTAGGGCAAAGTTTGTGTGTCAGTGCCAGGGTTCTGCTTTCAGCTGCTTCAGATCAGCACATGATGTGCTAATAATATGCTTGGCCTTGGCAACGAATGCTGAATGAAACGCAAGAGGTGCAATCCAACTATTTCTGCACTAGTCTTGATGTTAGGCAAGATACATGACATATACTCTAGATTTTAAGAAGTTTGACCAGAGAGTCTGTTGAGAAAAAATGTTTTCATAATACTTTTTATACATGCCACTTCATACACCTGGACCAGTGTCTATATTTTTTAAGATTCTGCTGCATATTGTACAGCTCATACTTGTTAAGAAACAAGCTGTTTATATTTACAAGTATTACATATCTAGTTCAGAGTGTAGGAATAATGGTCAGAACGCAAGTCCTTCATCCTTCTTCATGGGTTTGTTTCCAGCAGTGTCCTTTGGCAGTGGTAGGCTGGCAGCAAATGCTGATCCCCAGCCCCCTGGACAGAGACATTGAATAACACTACTGTTTAGTTCCATTATTGTACAGATGCTGCTGCTTTCTAAAAGCTTGCTGCTTCTGCCCAGAAATTGGTACCCTTTTCCTGGACCTATATTTTTTGGCTGGAGCTCCTCTCAGCTAACTAGTAGCCTTTCTAAAAGATGGCAGCATCAGCGGTTAAAATTTCCCCCCATCCACATAGATACAGTTTAGCAGGAGCAAACAGAATGTTCCCAAAACGTCATTTTAAAATGACACACTGTGCTCTAGTTATATGGGGTTCTATATCTGGTTAATTCAGCACTACAAATTGGAAGCTCCAGAAGCCTTATCCTATAAACCTGCTTTAGTAACTTCAGTCTAAATAGCTTCCTGTAGAGTAGCAGTTCTGCCACATGTGTCAGGAGAACAGTTAATCCTTGTTGAAGATCCTGCTTTTGAGCCATCAAATGGCATTTTAACATATCTTGTTGAACTTCTGACATGCCCAAGCACTGATCAAGTGAGTCCTCTTGTGCTGCATTAGTATGCTGCAGCCATGGCAGGGCAAACAAATACTGGTGTAGTAGAGTCAGTGACTGCTGAGGTGGCCTATTGTGAGTTCTGGAATTTTCATATGTAATCCCAGGAGCTGCTACAGCATCTTGTAGGATGAGGCCATCACCAGCAATAGTTTCCACACGTTCACAGCATTTATTTATTCTCTCCCTTAATGGCACTACTTCTATCCAATGCATGACTGAGTATATTGCAGTCATAAATAAGATTGTTTGGTCATCAAGATACAAGTGCTGTTGGAATATGAACTGAATTATATGTTTTTAGACATGATTTGTAGCCCTCATCTTGCTGGTCTTGCTAGTGTGACCGAGGCTGAGGTCATTGGAGCCCTACTACTCATGATGAACAAATTGTCCTCGGCAGCAGTAGAACTGTAGCCTGTTCCTATAGCTTGGAGCATATAAATAGAAATGTTGAATGTTGCATTATGTGAACAATGAATAGTGGAGTTTTATATCGAGAGAGAATGCACATCCCTCAAAATATGGATAGATTTGTATTCAAGGATAGGTATTCTAAGGTTAAACAGTCACCGGGATCAAGAGCAATGGCCCAGAGAAAATGACTCTACTCCTTAGTGACTAGTTGCTAAGAAACAGTAAATGTCTTCCTGCTGAATTTGTGGAAGATGATAGATTCTTGTGACCTAGGTACAGCGCTTCTATTCAGGCATATCTACCAGCAAAAGTTCAACTGTACATTTTATGGTAAAAAGAATTTCCCTGAGAGTATAAAAAATGTCCTTTGGTAGCAATGGAAGACCATCTATTTCTAAGCGCCAAGGAGATTTTGCTTTTCTTTCAAGGCATGATGTGCCCCAAAGCTCCTCTTTAAGTCTCATCGCCTATAAAGTTTTACACATCTCCGTAGTCAAAAACAATAGTAAACCATGTGGACAGCACAATAATATTGTTTCTAAAAATGGTCTTGACACCCAGTATCTGACTAAGCAGTCAGACCTTTGCAAGTAAAACAGGGATTGTAGAAATTCTAGCTCAATATTTAAATAAGGCAAACAGTCAAGAGGAGATTTTGCTGTTATATATATTTCAATGAGGACAATAACTTTCAAAGTGCCCTTTGCAAGGAGCTAACAGCTTGAAATTCTGATTTTATAAATTGCTCATTTAGGTTTACGTGCATCATGGCAACCCTTGTGTGCTGTTACATATCCATTATAGAGCTGACATTTATTTATTTATTTAGGTGATTTATATACTGCTCAATGTTTCAAAGAAATTGCAGAGTGGTTTACATAATAAAAACATCCAGAAACAAACACAGAAACTACAATAAAATCAACATTTTAAAGCAGCACAAAACATATGGAGACCATATTGCCACTAGTAGATCCAAAATACAGAAATATAACAGAAGCAAGCAGCCCTGCACCAAATATAGAAGTTTGCATGTACTCTCAGTTCTGCTGCTATTATCTCCCTTTACCACAGGAACATCCAGATCCACAACTGCAGCTTCACTAGTAGTCTTCAAACGTTAATTTAGAGAAAAGGTAGTTAACTCTGAGTAACTCAAATTAATGACAACCTGCATTACAATATTCTGAGTTTTTCTTAATGGAAGTTAGAAGAACTGCTTTAATTTTTATGCATTACGGTAAGTCAATGGTTCACAACTGATTGTTTCTCCATTACCCCATCATCCCTAACCTAAATTGGGAAGGAGGGCTACCCTTTTGTTCTAATGAAGCTTCCTTGTGCTTGGTTTTAGGAGTTGGCAAATGATATTATATTGTCGCACATTAGAAACATGATCCTCATATGCAGAAGGCTGTCTGCATATGACTGCGCAAGAATCACTTGCGTTGCTCCAGGATTGGGTAACCCGGAAAATATTAAATTTTGTATTAGGAAGTAGAAGCAGCATAAAGCAAAAAATATTTCATACTTTCTTCCCCAATAATGAGCTTATATAAGAAATACATTGACCATACTCATTAAATATGTTTCTTAGGTTTTTGGAAAGAACAATAATTTTCTGCCTCATATGTGATGCTGTAGAAATTCTATCTGGATTCATATCTTGCCATCTGAGCTAGAGTTCTTGCGAAGGACAAGAATGTTAATTCTGGAGGCATTAGGTTTTCAGTTGCTCTTACTGATTTGGAGTTAGTAGACTCAGAACTGTAACAGGTTCTTTCTGATCATAATGAGTTTGTTTTGTCTACAGCAGACATGCTGCTGAAGCTTTTCTGCTTTCTGTGGAATATTTTGGGGATTGTTGCCTTGACTTTTCCATTGCAAGGCAAAGAGAACACTTCTGTTGGATTAGAATAGGAATCCACAGGCCTTTTGAGCTTGTGGGCACATTTGGAATTTTGAGAGACCATAGTGGGCTCCCTCACAAAGTGACTCATGTGGCTTCTCTCTCCCATGAAATACACCCATCTCACAGAATGCATTTCTTTCTCTCCCTTTCCCAGACAAAACAGCTGTTTTACAAAAAGCAAATTCTCCCTTTGCCAACCAACTTATCGTTTCTCATCTGTTTCTTTCTCCACAGTCAGCAATGCATACACAACTCTTTTGCTCCTAGATGCTCTTCCTTTCTCCTATTAGCTATCTGCCTTGCACTGAGGCACAGCTGCTACATTGTACTTCTTCTCTTTGGCATCAACGTGTCCTGTTTCTGGTAGCTTCCGATTGAACTGTTTTCTTTGCTGATGGCATCCAATTAGGAGAAAGAACAGTTCTAACTGACTACCCCCAACAGATATAACTATTATCTCTCCTCTCTTTCAAGTCTTCTGGCCAATCAGAATGGTAGGAGGGCAAAGCAAACAATTTGGGGGAGGGAAATGAAGCAGAAATTTGACTGTCGCTATTATAATTTGTAATTTGGCCTGAATGTAATTAAAAAGCTTGGTGGATGCTCTGATAGGATTCTGAGGGCACCACCATTGGGACTGTGATGTTAAATTTATGTGATATTTATGACACTCAGAACGTAATTTGCATACAGAAAGGAAAGCACCAAACTTGATATTGCCAATTCTGAAAAGAGAGAGTTAACAGACATAATTAAAGGAAGTACAGTGGTACCTCGGGTTACAAACGCTTCAGGTTACAGACTCCGCTAACTCGGAAGTAGTACCTTGGGTTAAGAACTTTGCTTCAGGATGAGAACAGAAATCGCACGGTGGTGGCACGGCGGCAGCGGGAGGCCCCATTAGCTAAAGTGGTACCTCAGGTAAAGAACAGCTTCAGGTTAAGAACGGACCTCCAGAATGAATTAACTTCTTAACCCGAAGTACCACTGTATCTGTCTTAATGTGGAACAGAGTAGTTAATTTAAGTTTAAACAAAATGTGTGTATCTGTGAATGAAGCGTTTAGAGCTAGGATATAAGATTGACTTTTGCTGCTCTGGTGTCTTTCGGGAGACAATAATTAATTTAACTTAATGCCATCGATGGATTACTGTAGAATGAAGTATGTCTATGGTGTATACTACTCAGAGCTAGTATACTAATCCAGTAGCAAATATAGTGTATAAAAGGATAATCTGTTGTTTTTGATAGAAAAGCTTTCATTTTGGGGTTTTGGAAGTAATTACCTTGGTCAAGTGAAAACTCTCTGATGTATTCCTTTAAGTACTTCATTTTTTATTCTTGTAAGAGCATTATGGCAGATGTCTGTGCTTTGCTGAGATTGTTCTGAGATCTCAGTTCATGAAACTGTGCAGTGCATTTTTCAATAAATCATCAGGTAGGTGAGGATGTCCTGAGTATTTTGTAGCGGCAAACTACCTCATCACCCTAATGTCTCCTGCTGGTTGAATTGTTATTTTCTGTAACATGTCCCACTATATTTATTTGCTTAAACTGAGGTCTGTGGCAGAGTAATCTAAACAGTATTTTTATGGAATACCCCCTTCAACAATTTGCAGACACTTAACAAATACACCCTCATACATGGTTTCAGAGAATGTTAAACATTTGCTCTGTATTATAGCAATATTACCATTCAAAAAAGAAGGAATTGCTAGCTGTAAAATATTTCAAGAAGGATTGTTAGCTGTTCTCTATTCATTACAAACCTCAGGTCAATCTCCACTATTTGTGTTTATTTTAAAATTACTTAGTCTGTTCCCCCACCCCATCCCCAGTAAGCTTGTTTTTAAGCATATACTTCATACAACAATGCAGTGTTGGGAATGAAACTCTAGGGGATTCTTTGGAAAGCCAGTAACTGACTGCACTAGAAAATGCTCCCAAGGTATTCTGAGTCTAGCCATAAATTGCAGCAAATTCAAGTACCAAGACAGGCAGGAGAGCTTTTTTTACTATGCTTCCCAAGAGGTTGAGTTGCCTTGATGCTACACCCTCAGCAGCTGATGTCCCTTTGGAGCAATGATGCTCCAGCTGACATTGCAAGGGTGATAACTTGTGGCAGCTGTCACTTACTACACTGTTCATTGGTGGGTGCCTTTATTTCTATAAGCAAACACTTTTGTATGGGTTTTTAAATGTTTTATTCAGTTTACATTCTGCACACCAGTTGAAAAACATCTTACTATGCCAGAGGACTTGCTAGGATGTCTGCCAAGGTCCCTCACGATTTGACATGATTTCATCAGTGTGAACAGGGCCACAGCTGCAGGGTATCTTCATCTCCTTTCCACCAACCTCCTAGTCCACAAATGTGTGGCAGTAGGAGGCATAGTTTTGCCTGGTCCTAAATGCATTGGCCTTAAATGGTACAGCAGAGCTCATTATTGGCCATTGGCTAGGATGGGCTAGCAGACAGGTTACCTAAGCTGCACTTGAGAAATACTACTGCAGGGATCAAACATAGCTCCTTGCTTTATTTATACATACATAAATAATTTTTTTATAAAAAAAAATATAACTCCTTGCCTCCTTTTTCTGTTTTTGGAAAGGCTGTTATCTAAAGTTAACACATAAGCTGGTGATTGCATCACATTTAACTTTATTTCTTCTATCATGTCCTTCTGCCAGAATTCTCCAGGAAGTATATATATTGTAGGCTGTGAAAGACCATTCAATTAATTCAGTTGAAAAAAAGTGATTGCCAAAACATGCAAGCAGTGTTCCTGTCATCTGAGGGGAGGTGGGCAGTGACCAGAGAAAGGACCTGCTCAATTATAACACTCAATTTATGGACCCCCCCCAGCTTCCAGCAAAGCTTGCATGGCACCCACAATTTCAGGCACCAGGCAAAGACCTCTCTGTTCTTAAATCTTGAGCTTTGGCCCCCTTTAATCTGTTACTTTAAAAATCTGTTGGTTATTGTTGTTGGATTTTAAAAATATTGATGTGTGACTTTACTGACCTCTTTTCTGCATAGAAATGCTTCAACATAATAATGAAATAATACTTATTTAAGTGAAGACTAGTCATTATAATTTATATTGAATATAATGGAAGACTTAAGACTCTAGTCCTGTAGGCATTTACCTGGGAGCAAATCTCATTGAACTCAGTGGGGTTTCATTTTGAATAGATGCCAATAGTTTAGTGCTGTAAGCAATCCTCTTGGTTGTCATGAACTATGTTGTTATGCTGCTTCTACTGCCTGAATTGATGAAATGCTTCCCCCCTCTTATTTTTAGGAAATGAATGGAGTGTTAAAGAACATGCTGTCAGAATGGTTTTCCACAGGATTCCTAAATTTAGAGCGAGTTACATGGCAGTCGCCTTGTGAGATTCTTCAAAGATTAGCGAGTAAGTGCCAAGAATTGCTGGTGTTTTCTTTTTTAAAGTTCAAGAAGTCATGTACACATGCAGATTCAAGGTTGCATGACAAAATAAATCTAGGGGAGAGAGCAGACCTTTGTGAGTGTCTTCTCTCTGTCTTAAAATGTAATTGTTATTTTTTTCCCCAGTAGTGAAGCTGTACATCCTGTTAGAAACTGGATGGACATGAAACGCCGAGTTGGAATCTTACAGAAGGTGCTATTACTTTGCCCACTGTGCAATACCTGGTGAGCCGTTGGTTGTTCTGCATGTTGCACTTACAGACGAGATATCTAGCAGCATCCAGGTATAGTTGCTTGACTTAATTTGTGAATTTTTTTGTTGCGCATTAATCATCAGGCCTTGAGCATGTGACTATGGAACACTTCCAAGCAGATTCTTGGAAATAAAGTACCTAAACATAATCAGTATTTTCTAAATGAAAAACTTTGTGATTGAAACAAATGTCTTAATATAACATTTCAACATGCTTTTTGTGAGCATGTTAAGTAGCTCATTTGTCTATTTTAACCTCTGTTAATCATTTGTGGTCAAGAAGAAGAAAATATATAATTAATAATAATTGAATCACGCAGCTTCCATGCTTAGTAGCCTAGAGTGAATTGTTGCTCTCTATTGATGACTAAGGAAGTGATTAGCCTGACTTCTTAGATGTCTTTTATTCCTTTGTTACCAATATTTTTGAAAGTCAAACAGAGTACAAGTGCTTTTATGCATGTTATCTTTAGAAGTAAGATTTTCATGTGAAGTTTCTTAGAACTGTCCATAGAGATAATAACTAGAATGAAGGAATATTTCATAGTTACATGTGGTGTCCAGATCGTCTGAACCAGAATTACAAAAGCAAGCTTAATGTAGATTTGCAAACTGATTTGAATTAAGGTTATTTGTTAAAGCATTTTATATACTTCTCTTTGTCCTGTTGGGTTTCAGAACAGTGTATGAAGTCCGAATTGACAAACCATAGTTGAGGCTGTTGCTCTGCCTTCTGGAAGCCGCTTGAACACAAGGTTGAGAGGGCTGAGTAGTAGCAAAACACAAAACAAACAAGCAGCTCTGAACTATGGTTAATGCAAGCAGTGGTTTGGTGTGATGTTCAAATTCAGCCAGTGTAGCAGAGAATTAAATAGTTGTCATTTTAGCCCTGTAAAATGATAGGCATTAGGCTAACTGCTCATACTTCACCAGCAATATTACACTCTGTTGATGAAAATAGGAGACCTAAGCAAACTTTGGTCACTGTCCTGAGACTTTCTTTAGGCAAACAGAAGGGCTTGGCACATGCCCAGTTGACATCTTGTGTTTTCCTATTATCAAGCCCTAATGCCTGCACCATGAGCTGCTTGTTAAACTCTCAACATGACAGCTGAGTATGCAAAGCAAGTCTTCTGGGTCACAGGAATTTGGCTTATGTAGGATTCAGTGGGTTATAGAATTGTGAAATTGTTGAATTTTGATGGTGATTGCAGTTACTAATGTTACTTATGGTTAATTTTTCTCTAGGCCATAGTGAAGGGAGATTCCCCCTTAGAAGTTGAGGATCTGAACAAAAATCACCACTGCAATTTTCTATTCAATCAGTTTGACTCAGCAGGGCTTGCAGGGTGTGGAGCTGGGGACGTACCTCATCAAGCGAGTTGTTAAGGAACTGCAGGTATGTGGTGAAAAATTGCCATTTGGTAATAGCACTAGAATCTAATTTGTATTTACAGTGGTACCTCTGGTCGCGAACGGGATCCGTTCTGGATGCCCATTCGCAACATGAAAAGAGCGCAACCTGAAGCACTGTATCTGCGCAGATGCGATTTGGCGCTTGTGCGCTTGTCTGCATGCGTGAGCGGCGAAACCCGGAAGAAACCCTTTGTGGTATTTCCGGGTCGCCGCGGGACGTAACCTGAAAGAACGTAACATGAAGCAAATGTAACATGAGATATGGCTATTTTCATTTCTTCTGGTA